AAGGGGGCAACAACCCCCCCCACCCCCCCCCCCCCCCAGAGTTTCCACCCGACACCAGAAAATAAAAAATAAAAGGTGGTGACAGACAGAAAGAAAGAAAGAAAGACAAAAAAGTCCCTCTACATAAAAGCAGTCGTGATCATGTTGTTGTTAGTTTAGTTAAAGTTAAAGGTAGTGTATATATTTTCTATGTACAGAAAAGGGGGATTTCTAGGCTGGAAAAAAAGGGACCTGGCGCCCCAGTTCCTTCGGGGACATCCAGGCAGAGAGCATGGCGGCTCGGATTTAAACAGAGCACATTGAACCCAACACACTGTTCAACCATCGATTCCAGACAGTTTCTCCGTTCTCGTCCTCTTTCCTCCCTCCATTTTCTGCTCTGCAGCCAAAACCTGGTCAACATCTCAATCAAAAGAAGCCACGCTGAATGAAAAGAACACAGAGACGCAGGTTAATGTGAAAAAATACGGCCGCTTTCTGAACTTTACTAGTCACCAGAGGCCCGTTCAGAGGTCAGATTGGGGGGTGGTTTGGTTAGTGTGACCATACTGAATCAAATCCATCACCAGCCTCGTCTTTGTTTGGAAAATCCCCCAAAAGTTCAATGCCAAGCTACAAATTTACATAAATCCCAAACCGGAATGTTTTATGAAGGTTTCTGTGCCATCGCTGTGGCCAAATCTACCCAGCGACAAGCTAGTTTTATTCAAATAGTGTTAAAATTCCTGTTTTTAAACAAGAAAATCAACATTATGTCAGGTAACTGCTGGCTACATTACCTCTGAAATGAGAAAAACTTCATCAAAAACATCCAAATACTTCTATTCTGTCATTTTATGGTGAAAAAAACTTTAAGTAATTGACATAAATAATACTTTAGAAAGACACGAGCAGAACAATAAGGAGCTTCAGGCCATCCATTAATACTTTTAATTAAGAATTAAAATGAAAATTTTAAAGCCAAAAGGAAGCTCTTTTTTCCTTAACTTTAGCCCATGTCCTTGAATCAGTGAGGCTTTCTCACTGGCATAGTTTAGTTTCTAATATCTCCACTGTTTCTCACTCCAACTGGCTCGAATCGGAGCTCGAAGGTGGAAAAGAGGAGAGGAAAAACAGGGATTTCTGCTGTTTGGATCCACGTTTTCTGTGTGTGGTGATGACAGGCTGAAGCCAGCCGGTGGATCTGACACAAATATTAGTCGTCTCAACCCTCCCGATGACTTTTTCTCTCCCACATCGAAGCCGCCCACGGCTGAGCTGTGCCCAGTGGCTCATCGTTTATTTCTCTTTGTTTGTTTATCCCCGTAATCCAAGCTGTTGCGATGGCAGGCGGCAGCATTCGAGCCGAATTAACGGAGGAAAGACGGGAGGGGGTTTAAGGGGTTTAAAGAAGTCTAAAAGAGGAGAGGAGTTCCCTTTTCCCCCTTTAAAGCAACAAAAAACGAACACCCAAAGTGAGAAATTACTTTAAAAAAGTATTTTTAAGAACAAAAACTGCACAATTAGCCTTTAAAAGTCACATATTTTCAGATTAGACACCGACAAGCGCATAAAAAAATAAGTTCCTGATACCTTTCAAGGTTTAAACACCACTAATATTATAAATACAAAACACTGAAGAATGTGTTGATTTAGATAAATAAGCCAACATAAACCCTTTAGTATTAATTTCATAATTATTCAACATGAGGTCAGATCGTTCCCTCTTTAAATTTGTGCTTTTTCCGCCAAACCAAACAAAAACTACCCAGCTAATATCTGGTGTTTGTTTTAAGCTGAAAAAATAATGTAAAAACAGAAATAACAAATGTGGTAAAAAATGCAAGGATTTCTCCAATTTTTCAGCAGTGTTTCCCAAACTTTTGGGTGTTTAATGAATCTGTTTGTGCTATTTTCTTATTTATCCCGTTAAAGCCTGAACTTTTCCCCTTTTAAAGCAACAAAAACCGAACGCCCAAAGTGAGAAATGACTTTTAAACGGCACATATTTGTGCTTTTCATTGATCGTCACGTCCTTGTTGGTATTCAAGTATTTATATTTTGCATGTGGCTCTGAATTAACTCCAAAAAAGTCTTAAAAACTGCACAATTAGCCTTTAAAAGTCACATATGTTCTGATTAAGCACCGACAAGTGCATAAGAAGATATAGATATCTATAGCCAGAAATAACAAATGTGGTATAAAATGAAACAATTTCTCCATTTTTCAACAGTGTTTCCCGAACTTTTAGGTGTGTAATGAATCCGTTTGTGCTATTTTCTTATTTATCCAGCGGCTGTTGAGCCGTTTCTATCCAAAAGGCTTAAAAATAACGATGGAAGTGAGGAACAACAACAAAAAAAACCCCAACAGGAAAGCTCAAGAATCCCTTTAATTTGGACGTGCTAATGAGGAGTGAGTTTGTGTTGTTTCTCTCGTGGTGCTGGCTCCGGCCGCCGATGATCACATGGTGCGAGGCTTTCGATTGGCTGCTAAACCCGCTTCAAATGGTGCGAGGCTCTCGATTG